GGGCCGTAGGTGGGGGGGAGGGGGGGAGGTGGGGACGTAGGTGGGGGGGGGGCGTAGGTGGGCGGGAGGTGGGCCATAGGTGGGCCGGGGGGGGGGGTGGAGGAGGGTGAGAGTGTCTTAAAGATTGTAGCGAGAGCGGGCCGGATGTCTAGTGGGGGGGGGGGGAGAAGGAGGAGAGGGAGACGGAAAGAGGAAGAGATGGGAATGGGGATGAAGGGAATAGGAGGAAGGAAGGAGGGAATAGACGGAGGGAGGGAGGGAGAGAGGGCAGAAGAGAGGACAGAAGGAAGGATGGAGAGAAGATACGGAAGGGGAAATAGAGAGAGAGAAGATGAAGAAAGGAGAAAAAAGAAAGGGGGGGGGGCGAAGGGAAGAGGTAGGAGAGGAAGAAAGATTGAAAAGTAGTAAAGAAGAGAGAAAAAGAATAGGGATAGGGGACGAGAGGAAATGGAAAGGGAGGCGGCAAGAAGGAGGACGACAGAAGAAGAAGAAGAAGAAGAAAAAAGGAAGAGGAGGAAAGAAGAAGAAGAAGAAGAAGAAGAAGGAAGAATAAGTGGAGAAGAAGGACGAGAAGAAACGAAAGAGAAAAGAAGAAGGAGACGAAGAAAAAAAAACGAAGAAGTTAAAAAAAGAAGAAGCAGGAAGTGAAGAAGAAGAATAAGAAGAAAAAAAAAGAAGAAGAAGAAGAAAAAAGAAGAAGAAGAAGAAGGAGAAGAAGAAGGAGAAGGAGGAGGAGAAGAAGGAGGAGGAGGAGGAAGGGGCCCCGAGCCTGCTACAGTTAACACGTTCGAGAAATGGCAAGCAGAGACATTTATATTCCTATAACATTTTAGGTCCCGCCTGCCATTCGCTCTAATTTATTGAAGACACTGCTGGATGGGCTTGAGGAAAGGGATGGAAGGGGGGGGGAGGGAAGAGGGAGGAGAGGGAGGGAGGGAGGAGAGGAAGGAAGGGTGGGGGAGATAGAGGGAAGGAGAGAGGGAGGGAAGGGTGGGAGAGAGAAGCAAAGAGAGAAATTGGGAAGGAGACGGGGAGGGAAGGGTGGGAGAGAAAGAGGGGAAGAGGAAGGGAGGGAAGGGTGGTAGAGAGAGGGAAAGAGGAAGGGAGGGAATAGGGGGAGAGAAAGAGGGAAGGGGAGAGGGAGGAGAGGAAGGGAAAGAAGACGAGGAAGAAGAAGGAAAAGGAGAGGGAGAGGGAGAGGGAGAGGGAGAGGGAAAGAGAAAGAGAGAGAGATAGAGAGAGAGAGTAAATTGCGGATTTCAAACATTTCCCGCGATAGGTTCTTGAAATAACAACAATAATAAGAAAACAACAAATTAATAGATAGGTCACCTCACCTCCTTCCTCTAATCTCTCTAACTCTCTAATTTCTTCGTCTGTTCTCCACCGTGTTTCATTTCCCTCTCCTCCTTCCCTCCCCCCCCTTGTCTGATTCTATCCCCCCCCCTCCCCGCCCATACTTCCCACGCCCCTCTTCTAATTTCTCCTCCCCTTTAAACCTCCCCCCCCCCACTTCCTTTTTTAACCCATCTCTCTTCCCCACTTCCCCCTCTTTCCACCCCTCTCACCGAGTCTGTCTCCTCCCCTTCTGCCCACCTCCCTCCCCCCCTTCCCCAAGTCTACCCTTTCATTTCTCCCTTTCCCCTTCCTTCCCCTCCCCTCCCCTCTCCTTCCCTACCCCTAACCCCCCTTCCCTTCCCCTCTCCCTCCAAAAGTCTAAGCGTCCCCCCCTTTCCCTCCCTCCCTCCCTCTAACCCCCTCCCCTTCCCCCTCCTCTTCCCCTCTCCTCTCCCTCCCTACCCCCTAACCGTCCCCCCCTTTCCCTCCCTCCCTCCCTCTAACCCCCTCCTCCCCTCCCCCCTTCCCCATTTCCATTCCCCTCCCCAACTCCCCCCCCCTCCCCCCCGGAACGAAATATTCCAGATTTACAACAGGGAGCCTGACGGATGTGACAACCGCTACGCCTCCGTCCTCCGGCAGAGAAGGCTCGATCTGGCGGCGGTTCAACATTTATAAATAATTTTCCCGAAGCCGCCTTTCCCCTCTTTCCCCTCTCCCCCTCCACCCCACCCCACACCCCTAATCCCCCATTCCCCACACACACCCCGCGGCTGCCTTCCTGTCGGTGTTTTGCAAAGGGAGATGGGAAGGGAGAGGAAAGGGTGGGGGATGGGAAGGGGAGGGCAGGGGAGGGGAGGGAAGGGGAGGGGAGGGAAGGAGAGGGAAGGGGAGGGGAGGGAAGGGGAGGGGAGGAGAGGGAAGGGGAGGGGAGGGAAGGAGAGGGAAAGGGGAGGAAGGGGAGGGAAGGAGAGGGAAGGGGAGGGAAGGAGAGGGAAGGGGAGGGGAGGGGAGGGGGAGACAGGAAGGGGTGGGATGAGAAGGGGAGGGAGATGGGAAGGGAGAGGAAAGGGAGAGGAAGGAGTATGGGATGGGAAGGGGTGGGGAGAGGGAAGGGGAGGGAAGAGGAGGGAAATGGGAAGGGGAAGGAAGGGGAGGGAAG